TAAAAAAATACAAGAAAACGCGTAAAAGGAATTTAAGAACCTTTAACCTAATCACATTATACATTCTTACTTTTTTCATCACACAGAGTGCTAGGCCTCTGAATTAATTTTATTGTAATTATTTAATTAGATTAGAATGAAATATTTTTTTGTTCTTTTAGTTATTTTTTGTGGTTTATATTTATTTGTGTTTTTTTAAAAGTGATGATTTTTATATAGTAGTTAATTAACGAATTTATCTATTATATGAGTTAAAAACTTAAATTTAATTGAAATTATACTCTGATTTAATTTATAAACTTTAATGTTTAGTGTGATTAAATGAAATTTTACTTTTGAAACTTTGATTTGATTAAATATAACACTTTAACTAAAATTAGTCATGACTTTATTTTAATTAATTAGTTTTTTAGTGGATGAAGACACAAATGAATATACATTAGACATATAGAAAAATGTTGTTTGAGACTTAACTTTTAAGTGAGATTATAATTTAATTAAAGTGATAACCGGCAACAAATTTATTGAAACTTTAAATTGATTAATTTAAATTTTTAAAATAATAATTAATTGAAATTTTTATATAACTAATGATAAATGAGAGAAAGGAGTCAAATCAAGGTTTTTTTATCTATTTTAAGTCTCTGTTTCATTAATTAATTTATTATTTAAAATGTTTATCTTCATGTCTTGTTTTCGTCGTATTTTATTGTGTATAAAGTTTATAAAAATTATCATCTTAAAAATTAATGATATGTTCATTGAAAAACGACTTTGAGTTAGTATACTATTATTAATTTTGTTGTTATTATCTTAATATTAATTTAGTAATATTTGTAACATCCCAAAATAATATAGCTGTAAACTATATTTAAGAGTCTTTACATTTTAAATAAAATAGAACAGGAATAAAGTTTAATTTAAAGTTTTCCTAAAATAATCATAAATTTAAAACTTTACATAAACTTATACTAAAACAACCCTAAGAACACTAATCAGTTATATAAGAAGAGTATCAGCCAAACGGTCATACACTGAATGCAAAACAAGCACAAGACTGAACGGCCTTACTCTAACGAAAATCATCCTCTCCTACCGGCGCCTGCTCTAGAGAACCCTCTTCACCTTCTGCTCAAACCCACAGGGTGATCATTGCAATGACAAAGACGACCGAACAGACAACATGATAAGACAGAAAAAATAAGGGTAAACTTATATAATTTAATTAATTCAGTAAAACATATAATTCACACAAAATCTCAGATTTAATAAAATCAATAGGTCAATCATCAACAACCAATCATACATTTCCAACAATAACCGAATGGTAAAACATGCAATGGCCGACCACTTTACTCTGACTGTCCGGACTGTATGAATTCTGTGTAGCTACGACGTTTGTGCACACGGGTGATGTAATAGCTGGAATGCCCTCAACAGCTGCCACCCGAGGTTAGTCCGTTATACCTCGCCCAAGTTCACCTTATGGACTAGGACCTCCTGCCTTTCTCACACATGATTTACTCCTCTCTACTTGAGAATGAGTAATCACAGAATATCAGGATAAACGCCATCTAAGCATAACCACGTTCATACTCTACCATTCAATAACAAATCCTGAGATATTCCTCCCTAGAATACTCCTTCATATCCATATAATATAAATCACATCATACTTTAATGTCATCATATTTCTTCATCCATAACACATTTAATTAAAATCAAACTGAACGAAAAATATCAACACAACCTATAAACAAGGCTGAACACCCTATGAATGTTGGAGACCGAACAGTTTCTCACTATCCCAGTATAGAACCGATCGGTAACGACTATCACACATAATTATATGAACGAGCGGTCAATTTGAAGAATAAGGCTCAAACATGAGCCAAATACAATTTGAGGGTCAAACACTATAACAACCGAACACTTAGATCTTGGCCTGAATACTAAGAACTTAAACCGAACACTTAGTGTAAGACCGAGCGGTCTTCACTATCCACAAAACAGGACCGAATGGTCCATACTCGGTAAGGTTAAGGAAATGACCGAACACTATTAAGGACTAAATCACCAGGGAAAGACCAAACACTAATACAAGTTCGAGCACTACCAAGACAAAGTACCACTTAAAACCGAACACTCTGGACTTAGACAGAATATGTTAGCAAAAATCAAAGATAAAGTTTTGATGATGAACAGATTTGCACAAGTCAAGATTCATAAAGACAAATTGAAGATCTCTGTATTTTATAAAGCTTTTATAATAATCAAAGTTGATGTAATGGTGCTCAAATATGTATTAGGGTTGATTCTTGTAATTTATATTTGATTTATTTAGTTAATCGATTATTCCTGAGAATAATCAATTAACACTAGCCGTTGGGGGTTTCAGATTTGAAAAACTAGCCGTTGGGGGTTTCAGATTTGAAAAACTAGCCGTTGTACTCATTATTAATCGATTAATATTTATGTTAATCGATTAAATGCGTTAGATGACCTGTTTTCGAAGAATGGAAGGGTATTAGGCTGAGTCTATAAAATGGCTCACTCTTTATCTCAAAAATAACTCTTCCCTTGTGCAAAAGATCTCTGAACTCTTTGAGAACTATGTGAGATTGTTGAAGCTAAGGAAACTCTTGTCTGCAAAGTCCTGAAGTGCTATTGCGGTGACAGAGGAATAGCTTGTTCATCCTTGGTGTGTCCGAGGAAGTGCGTGGAAGAGAATCATCCTTCGTGAAGCATTCGAAGGAGGTGGTCATCCTTTGTGAAGATTCAAAGGAAGTGTAAGTTCGTCTCTTGTGGTTTCAAGAGAGGTGGTATCATCCTTTGTGAAGATTCAAAGGAAGTGTAAGTTCATCTCTTGTGGTTTCAAGAGAGGTGGTATTTCTAAACTCTTACAAATTGTTTTTCTTTGTGACTAATATTTGTAAGTGTTTTGTGTTAGTGAAAAAGGTTTATCTTATTTGAGATAAGCGACTGGACGTAGGATCCTAGTGATCTGAACCAGGATAAAATCACCTGTGTAATTTTTCTCTTTCCCTTACTCTGTCATTTATATTTAATCATTCGCCCAGTAAGAAAAATTAAGAGAAAAATAATAAAAGGCACAATAAAAGTATATAACCAATTCACCCCCCCCCCCTCTTGGTTTGTTCCACGCTAATAATTCCGTTGCAGCGATTCTAACAGAATACTCTCTTAGGAATGAACTTTAAAGCATGATCGAACGGTCATTTAACAGGTAAGGCCCATCAGAGGCCAAACACAGTTAAGACCGAACATCAATACCAGACCGGGTACTAGTGCAAGACCGTCCGGTCATTAACTGAAAACTCCACAGAAGCAGAACTCAGTTAACACTGAACACTAGAGGAAGACCACCCACACCTAATACCGAACGGTCATGAACTGGTAAGACTCCAAAGAGAATGAACCCAATTAATGATCGAGCACCTGAATATGGCCGAATGACCAATCAGCGCATGACCGAGCGGTCAACAGCGAATCCTCAGTTTTCTGCATAATTCTGCAGAAACTTCTGCATAATTATGAACACATCAAATTTTACCAAAACTAAACATTTTCCCAAACTTCTAATCTTCCAAACACGAATCATATACACACTTACACCTATCCAAGAGTACCTAAATCTTTCTAACATCATCCTAAAGAATCTCTTATCATATTTCATCCCAAATCCTGCATAATCACAACTAAATGACCAAAAATTCATTTTCCTACTTTTGACACATTATAGGAGGACTTAAAGGTTCTAACAGGTCTAAATACACTTGCTCAGACTCTTCCCACTGACCAACCTCACTCTCGACCCCAAACTCTCATTTTCACGTACTCACTCTCTCAAAACCAGAACAGACCGAACACTTATGCAGAGATTTCAACCAGTTCACAAGTTCCATTATTCATCAATTCAACACAATTCAATCAAACATTCAATTCATATACATGCAACCATCCAAACAGTAATTTCATACATAAAAAATCATAATTAAATCAACTAGCTTCCCTTACCTTTAACAAAACCGAACAACTTCTACACATCCAACAAATTTGTTTGAACCGTAAGAGAATCCTAAGAACACCTATGAACTACCGATTGGTGAAAGAGGACCAACCGTAGAACCACAATGAAATCAGAAAAGGAAGACAGAATACGTAACACATGCAAACAGGATGGTTCCTTGCATGAAGCAAAAATAAAAATTCACTAAAACCAGAGAACGAAACTTACCAGTTCTAAACACAATTGATCGATTGGATAGGAAGCTCTTGACGTCTGGATCGTCTAGGAAGCTTCTGATCACCGATTAGATGAATCTTCAGTGAGAAAATATAGAGAGAAGGGAGAGGGAAATTAGGAAATAGTGTTTCTAGAGAGATAAACAGTTTTAAGATAATGATCTGAGTGTTTAGAAATTTCTATTTATACTGTTGGTGTATTTCAACATTTAAAAGTTCAGTTCAATTATTTTAATACCTTTATCTACTCTATTATTCTATTTTCTGGATCTTTACAATATTAATTTATCATATGATCATATTTTAATATTAAATTTAAAAATGACAACATTATTTTTTAATTTTTAATTTTAAATAAAAAAATTTCTCTTAAAATTTGTGAATTGAAATTACTTTTTAATTTTATAGAACTAGATTAAAAATGACTCAAAAACAAAATCTATAATCAAATATTAATTTTATTTAATATGTATTAATTAATATATAATATATACTACTATTTAACTATTTTCCCATACATAATTTTTTTACAGTTTTATCTTTATTCATAACATTTTGATAACTTTTTCTATAATTATTACCATAATTTTTATTGTTATAAAAATATTATTATCATTTTTATAATTTTTTTTTTAATAAAAATAATTTTAGAGGTAAAAAAGTTAAAGACACAACATGTATATTTTCTACTTTTACAAAATAGAATCAGTAATTTTTGCAGGGGAGATCTTGACTATTGAATGACTAAAATACCTCACCCCCAGTCCTGCACCACAAGGCACCAGCAGGGTAGAATTGGAAAACACGGAACAACCTTTGCTAGATTTCCCAATATAAATATTAGCCACTGCAGATGTTCAAGCAGATTAGGGTTTCTGTTGCCGCCACACTCCCTCCTCCCTGAATGAGATGTCTCTGCTTTGATGCTTCCACAAAACCCTAATCTCGTGGCTATTTCATTTGTTTCATCCTGCACCTCCATATTTTCTTAATAATAACAATAATAATTGGCGCATTTCTTTTTTTCTCTCTCTTTTTCCCTCTTTCAGTGTCTCAATTGACACTGCTAAATTACTTGTTCCTTTTTTTCTTTTTCTTTTTCTTTTATACTTCAGGGCCATGTCTTGTTCTCTTCTGTTTCTCTGAACCAAAAGAGGCTGTGAAGATTGTTTTGGAGTGTGGACCCGATACGTCGGTCGCCGTCAAACATTGGTCGCCGGTGGCGAGGCAACGTTATCGCTTGTGTGATCTTGTTGCAGCCATCCGTGGTGGTGTTGTTTTTCGACTTCCGATCTGTCGTTGTGATAGATCTGAGCCTCCGTGATTCGCGCTCGAATATTTCCATCGTCGGCAATGTCTCAACGTAGTATTTGTCAGAGGTGTATGGAGTGAGAGAAGGGAAAAACGCCTTTCCCGATCTCATCGGTTATTTCTTTCCTCTCTCATTCCATACATCGTCCGACGAACGTATCGTTGATCGGTTCTGCATGGTTTTGGTTTCACTTTGTACCCTCCCTGGAAACCCTAATTTACTTTAATTTTTTGGTATTTGAGTAGTGTGTGACATGTGGTCGATGCGTTTGCTGTATTTTAATTTCAGGTATTTTTTGATGCTGTGATGTTCTTAAACTTTTGTAACTTGATGTTTTTAAACTTGTTTTTAAACTTGTTTCATGCAACATGCCTGCAGGATGGGCTTAAAGTGAAGTTCTGCTATTCGGTTATCTTCGAGCTGTCTAAGAAAACACGCTTGGTGTACATTTCACGGAATAACTAGTCACAATATTCTATATCAATGTTTATATTTCTGATTTTCTATGTAATGTTCATCAACGGTTTGTATAGGAGTTTGAACCGTACTTGTTCCATTCATGTAACAATATATTTATAGTTAGATTGTAATAGAATCCAATTCTTAAATTGTTGTGTAATTGTATGATTGGGGAAGTCATTTAAAGTTGTTACGATTGCATTTGAAGAAAGAAGATTAATTACTGTATGTGCAATTGTTTTAATAATTATAATTATAATTCTATACAATGTCCTTCAGCATTGTGCCCTTTAAATACTCGACGCAGTGTATTTCGTTGCAAGCTTATAAAATTTTGCATTTTGGCATGGATTTTGCGTTTATATTGCAGTATTGACACAATTCCCAATAATCCAAATGCAAGCGTTGGCAAAAGGGTTGCCTGATGAATAACCCATTAATAAGAATTGTAGAACCAATCTCGTTGTTTCTATGATACAAGATGGAATGTAATTGTAGAACCAATGTTAGGGTTAAGTTAGTGTTCTCTAGATTTTGCTATGTTTATCACATTAATTTCTGTGCAAGAGCGTAGCAAGCACCAAAATGGCAGCTGAGAGGCCACAGTTAGCAAGCTCTGCCGTGGCGGCTGAAGCTGCAGGACCGTCGGCAGCAGGTGTAGCATCATCAGCAGGTGTAGCATCATCAGCAGGCCGAGTTTCAGCCGGTTTAGAAGCGTCGCTGACTGGAGGAAGAGGTGGATCAACAACGTTTGCAACCTGAAGAGGAGGAAGTGGTGCCTGCGCTTGTGGCTGGTCCTGGGCTGGGATAGTTTTCAGTAGATCACCAGGTCTGGCCGGTAAGATAGCAAATTGATTGTTAATATCGCTACAGGGACTCCCTGCAAGTTATAAAAGGGTAGATGGAGTTCAAGCATATGCTTATATACGGATAACAAAATAGAAATGCTTAAGTTAGACTCGTAGTAACTGGCATTATTGTTTTGCTTAGGCATGGAGAGTGGAATGACTTACAGACGAATCTACTCGAAGTGCCAGGAAAGTCGGTGACTACTCCATCAACCATAGCAGTCTGGATGTAAGTAGCAATCTCGATATTAGGGTCTGACCAGTAGTCGAATGCCAGTGATGTGTATTCATTTTTAAGTGTACGGACGAATACTGTGAGGTTTGCATCTTTCAACTCCTTAACAACATTGGTCAATCGATACAAGTAAGAGGCATATACTTCGATAACAGAGGTTTTTGGAACATTCACTGCATCCGCATACTTTTTTATCTCTTCCGCTGTTTTTTTGGGCACGCTACCAATCTTTTCACTCAAAAATAGTACCCTTTTGTAAGACGGGTTATCTTTAAACTTAGATAGGACCGAGCTGTCATCTGATTGAACCAGGACTTGTTGCTTGTCGAAGGTGGCGTTTTTCAAGGCACTGCTAACAGCATCCACAATGTCAAGACCCTTTTTTGATGCAAGGTACGCCGCATTCTGTGAGGCAATTGGAGTTCGCAATAATAGAAAATTTTCAAATAGAAGGAAAACGATTGCAGTAACACATCCTTCTTAACATGTACCTTAATAACTTGTTTAAATTTTTGTGAGAAATCCAAAAGTAGTGATATTGCTTACCTGAATGTTTATCAAAACGCCAGGAACTGCCTTTGTCTTGGCTAACTCCAGAAAATCTTGTAGGGTGATCAATTTACCGCTGCTTTTGTTTGCAGGGTTTCTTTGGAAATCGCCGTTTTTAACAATATGAGCTGAAACAAGAAATTTGTACTGTAATTTCATTGTTGAAATCTCAAAGGTTGAATCTGAACTTGAATCCTTGAAGTTCTTTAGAAGTATTTACGTTTTAATTTCTGAATCTCACTCCAGGAAAGGTCAAAGGAGAATATTCCAGATTTTGGTTGAATATCTGGGACTTTGGAAGATCGAGACATAAATTTAGTCATTGCGTTGGTATCTGGGCCTAGGTCTGAGCTATTTGAGCAGAAGGCAATGCCATCTCTTGTCATTTGAACTGAACAATCTATAATGTCAGCACCGTCATCTATTGCTTGCTTATATGCAAGATCACTGCTGCCTGGATAAATTCCGCTTGCACCATTGTTGCTTATGACCAAAGTTGGTCCTACAAAATCAAATTTATAAGGTAAATTTGTCATCCACCTGTTTTCCGTGTCTTGTCCGTCTGGGGTATGATTGAGAACATTTTAAGATTGATAATATACCTTTTTTGGGCAAGGTATTGTTGTGTGAAAAGCAAACTGTAAAACAAAATATCTGTTAGAAAGTTGAAGAGGTGATCTTCAAGTTAGAAATAGATTGTGAATTTAAGTGGAAGGTTTGACATCTCACATATTGCATTTGATGCTGTTGATGGGAAATCGGTGACAACACCATCAACAGAATCTCCCTTGTCGAAAAATTGAAGGTACTCAGCGGTAGGATCATAGTTATAAGAATAGCTAGCAAAAAAATCATTAGCAAAACCAGAAGCATAGACTTCTAGTCCAGATTTATGGGCATCAGCCACAACTGTGGTGGGAAGTCCCAGATATTTGTCTGCTTTAATGGGCCATATGTAATCTTTTGGGACTATTATGCCTGATGCAAATGACTTGATTGTAGCAATATCCTTTATAATACTTTCATATGGCTTCTTGGTTGAAGGTTCGACATCCTTAGCGTTAAGAAGTTGAAAGACGACCTTGGTATTGTTAGATTTCTGACTGAGACTCTTCAAGAAGCCCATATCTGAAGCTGAAACAAATTCTATTCGATAGGAATCCAATAATTCCAAAACAATATCTTCCACCTTTACTCCCTTTTCTTGGTAGAATGCTGCATTCTGCAACAGAACACGCAATTAATATTATAATAATTTGGTAAACAGAAAGAATCTAGGAATGTGGCGTGGTGCTTGTAGAGTTTCAATTCTCAAAGAAGGTCCCGAATTCAGAAGGAGTAAAACCTGAACATTCAACCAAAACCTGGGGGGGTTTTTCGTGCTCAGCAGACTATCAAGGTTGAGAATTGGATCAAGACCATCGTAAGCACTGGGTCGTGAAAATATGGCCTGAATCACTGCAGATCACAGACCAAACCTTCAATTTCAAAGCTCAAACCTAACAGTAGTTTTTTATTGCTCCTATTTCAGCCTATAATCTATTAACTCACCTGATACATTCATGCCAATCTGTTCGGAATTGTAATCCACTGAAAAGTGTCCTTTCACGTCCTTCCCATTAATATTATAGGTACTTTCCTTAGGATCGAAGAACTCTATAGTTGTTCCATTGTCAAGTGTAGATCCCGTGATGCAAAAGGCCCCGCCATCTTTTGACAACTGAAGATTGCAAAATAAGATGCTGATGTCTCGTGCCAATGTAATGGCGTCTGGAGAGCCTTCAGGGAAGAGTCCCGAATAACCACCACGGGCTATTACAAGAGGCTCATTGCCTGCAACATCAACAAACAATCACATCAATGAGCCAGGGAAGCCATTTTTCAGAGAAACAAAAAGTCCTACGGATACCAACCACTTAATGTTGACCATTTCGGGGAAGCAACTTTTGGTGCAACTGCAGGTTTTTGTGCTACTATTCCATGAACCAAGAAGAAAATCAGAAACAAGCTTCTGAGCATTTTGTTCTTTTCCTGTTACAGTCCAAACTAAACCGAGTCAATGTCAAGTGAAACAAACAATCAATCAATCAATCCTTAAAACGTTCATTTGCCTTAAAATTCCTACGTTTGTGCTCATATAGTAATGGTTTCAAATTTCTCTTAATATTTTCCTTTTGGATGTTACACGCCTACTGGAATAATCCCACTTCATTCTCGTATTATTCAACCTCATCATCAATTTTTTCTTGTGTCAATCAGAATAGCATAAAGGGTTCAGAAACAAAAAAGTTGATCATAATTTTAGTTTCATCTCCGCAAACATGAAAAAAAGGAAAATAGAAAGAAACAAGCATGCATACCCAAAACTGATGTTCGAACCTCGATCTATTGAATGGATGAAACATGCATTCCCTGCGAGTTTTTCTCAGAAGAATCCTCGAGGGAATGTAATGGAAAACAGGAAAACGAATTGGTGAGTGAGATTGACTCACAAATATTATTTTTTTGATCTATTTCCACACATTTTCGCGCATAAATGGTTGGCCAGCCTTACATTGTTATTTTTGGAATGTTTGCTGTTTTTGTTGCTTTTCCAACTGTTACATCTAGGGTGGGCAAAAAATCTGTTTTACCCAATCTGGTCCACTTTTGCACTCTTTTGTTCTGTTTAGAATCATTTCATTAAATCTGTTTTTTATTTCTGATCTGTATTTTATAATTTTTCCAGATCAGATTTATGTTTTACTTATATAGATTTTAAAAGACTGAAAAATCTAAATTTGGAATCCAAAAAATAATAATCTGAAACTGGTTAAAACCCACCATAAACCATCTTTTTGGCATTTCGTTACTTTCAACTACACAAGAAAAGGTCGTTTAACAACATAACTCTACTCAAAAAATAAATTAATTTACAAATTATAGTAATTTGGATTAAATCAATGATTTTGTTTTATTATCTGGACGCCTCAAAAGAGATATTTTGATCTTTGGTTTATGATATGAATTCAGTAAAGAATTGTGAGGTTTACATAATTCCATTGTAGTCTATACTATTATTTATTTAGTTACGGCAAATATATTTCCTTCTTTATTAACCATAACCGAAAAGGTGTTTTAAAAGATGAAAATATATATATTTAAATTATTTTTAAATGATTAAAAGGACAATTATTGCTTTAAATGAATTTTTTCTGTTAAGAAACATTTTTTTTTGCATGAATAACAGAATTAAAGTTATTTATAAGTAAGTACCTGAATAAAATAATGAGTTATAAAAAATAAACTCTGAAAATTCATAACAAAACATTTAAGTCATATAGTAAAACTGTTTTGGGGAAAATAATTAATTTTATGAAATGTTGTATTATTATACAGATTATACATAACGTTATAAATACGTTTCATCCCTCCAAATATTTAATGCGCATGGAAGAGTAGGAGTCAAATTCATAGACATGTTTAAATTAATACATACATTCTATGATATTACATAAATTTGTCTAACATTTATTAAAATTATTAAAATAAAACCGTAAAATTGGCTCCAACTCATAAGTCAAATTAACTCGAGTTTAAAAAAGTATATACTATTTTTAAATATCCATCAAACTGAATACAACTCTCTCAATCCTAAACTAAATATATCTTGTTTATTACTTTTATTAACTACTTAAGTTGTAAGTTGACACTTAATTTTTTAACACTAATGTTTAATAATATTTGAATGGTTTTAATATTTAATTAATTAATTATATAAATTATTATTTTTAATTTTAATTGTGATTAATATATATTAAGATAGGTAACACTTTAATTATATTACCAAAAACATATGAATCTCGTCCATCTATCTTACAAAATTTGTAATTGAATTAAAAAATATTATTCAACCTCATAGTCCATCAGAATAGCATAATGAGATCGGAAACAAAGAAGTTTATCATAATTTTATTTCATCTCCTCAAACATGAAAAAAAATGAAAATAGAAAGAAAGGTTATTGAACATGGCACATGCATGCATGAAACAGGCCTTCCCTGCGACTTTTTCTGAGAATTTTTTCTATCTCTTTCTACATATTTTCGCTGGTTGCTTTTTCTATATGTTAAATCAAACTACGTTTCTTTAATGAATTATTTTGTTTTAAAACTTTAATACGTTTAAAACACCAACATTGCTTACATTGTCATTTTTTCAATCCAACTATCATTTATTGTTTAATTCTTATTTTAATCTGTTATATAGGATGACAAGAATACAGATAAGTATTTTAAAACTTACTAATAACCATATATATATTCACAAATATTAAAAAAAAAATTTATAATTTTTAAAATAAAGTTTAAATAAAATTATAAAAAAAAATATATAATATAATTTAAATTAAATATGAATTATAATTTAATTGTAATTAAATTTAACCAAATAAAATATCATTTAATTTTAATTGATATTTTAAAATTATAAGTGAGGAGATTATCCTAAAAAGTCATGAAATCAATAATATATTTATCCTAGAGTGAGGAGATTATCCTAAAAAACCAACTCATCCAAAAATATATATTTATCCTGTGAGCTAGTGCGATAAGAAAAGAGAGACGGCGTTGAGTGAAAAAATTTAAGTGAAAGCGAACAAAAAAATGAATCAATTTTAGTTTGAAAGAATTGATTCTCCTCCACCAATGTAATAGGACCGATTTATATTGATTCTCATCTATTTATATAAATAGTAGATTAGATAGTGATATGTATATACTTATATATTAGATTTATATTATGTTTAATAACAATAATAATTCACATTTTATTTTAATATAATTAACACTTATGTTTTTATTTAAATTATTGTTATAACAAAAAAATAATATTTCATATTTTTATCAATTAAAATATTTTTTTAACCTATCAAATCCATCACATCACTCACTATCTTTCATAAACTATCATTTTAAATCTCTTCATTTTCTCACCATCTTTCTCTTAATCTAAAAAACCTCACATTCACTTCATTTTCTCCTCAAATTCACTTCCCCAAATCCATATTCTAATCCAAACACAACCTTAGTTTTAAAATAATTCATATAAATTAACCTAATTCTAATCCAGAAAGAAAAGATAATTTATTTTTTCTTCCAAAAATAGTTCGGCTTGCTGACATAATATTTTTTTTTGGTAGATATTTGTTAAAAAGCTGAAATTCCGCAGAAACAACTCTACTTTTATTTCTAGCTACTCCCATAAAAACCATCTGAATTTACCATGAATCTCACACTTCTCATGGAAATAGGTGTAAAGTATTGAAGTTTGGATTCTCACCAAGAACAACTAAAAACAAACACAATAAGAACATCAACGATAAACTTTACAAAGTTCATATCATCATCATCATCATGACCTTGGTATATTTTGCATTTACTTTTATTACTGATATGAAACACTCTCTTTCACCTTCAGATATAATTACTATTTCCCCAGAAGGGACTTGAACCACCAAACGCCTTTGGTGTCCTCAGGACCTTCTCTCTCAGGTGGAGGATTCGTGTGTGGAGTCTTGTGGAGTCTGCTCACATCATAGCCCTCATCCTTGGCTCTCTTAACAAGCTCCTTGTAAATTTCCTCATCCATTTCATTCTTCCTCGACAATATCTAGAAACCAAAATCACCTCAAATTACTATACCAAGTGACCAAATCATTAATAAACAACACATTCACAATACAAAAAACAATCAATTTTACACTTTCAGACTTCACAGTTAAAATCAATATATCCTTTTCACAAGGTCTGTTTCCATCTGACAGATATCTATCTACACAACCCCTCTAGAGATTGAAGCTCCCATAAGTGCCATATGCACATTTCTGAAAATCAAAGCTCCCAATCATATATATTTGAGACATTTATACTAAGAGTGTGTCCATATGTATTTAAAAAATTGTTCTTTGACTACAATTTTCAAGGTTTCAGATTTATCTGCAATTTCTAGTGATATGAAGGAACATACATGGTGATGATCCAAGCAGAATTAAAAGGGAAATAGGGTTCTTACCCAAAGATAACTCCTGCTAGGTTGGCCAATGAGAGCATACTGATAATCAGGATCGATGAACAAAACCCAGTAATCCCCAGTAACAGGAATGACGGGTAAGAAAGGAGGAACCCAAAACCTGACCTTCAATTTGGCCTCATCACTATCGGGATCTGCCTTATGAGCAGTGCCCTCGATGAAGCTTCTTTTCCCACCGCTCCAAGTTTCATTCAGAACTCTCACAGTGCCGTCATCGCCCAAAGTGTAGGTGGCTCTTGTGTTGACGCCGTCACTGGGCTGAAACCTCGACGGAAAACACGCAATCTCGTACCACCGTCCCATGTACCGCTTCAAGTCCAGACCTTTCACCACCTCCATCACTTTCGTCGTCATCCACAGCAATGTCAATGATGCTATTGGGTTACTCTTCACAAGAACAACAGAGTCAGAACAAAATACCACCAAAGACGGTTGTTTCAGTTTTGGTGTACAAGGTTTCAAGGTTAGCTTTGCTTCAACGTTGGATTTTGATCTTGCAAGTGTGATAGAGTTGTGACCGTGGATGAATTGTGATCGTACAGGTGTACAGTGAATGTAATTCATTGATGTCATATTGCTACTACCCAGAGTCAAGTAACTTATATCANGTTACGATTGCATTTGAAGAAAGAAGATTAATTACTGTATGTGCAATTGTTTTAATAATTATAATTATAATTCTATACAATGTCCTTCAGCATTGTGCCCTTTAAATACTCGACGCAGTGTATTTCGTTGCAAGCTTATAAAATTTTGCATTTTGGCATGGATTTTGCGTTTATATTGCAGTATTGACACAATTCCCAATAATCCAAATGCAAGCGTTGGCAAAAGGGTTGCCTGATGAATAACCCATTAATAAGAATTGTAGAACCAATCTCGTTGTTTCTATGATACAAGATGGAATGTAATTGTAGAACCAATGTTAGGGTTAAGTTAGTGTTCTCTAGATTTTGCTATGTTTATCACATTAATTTCTGTGCAAGAGCGTAGCAAGCACCAAAATGGCAGCTGAGAGGCCACAGTTAGCAAGCTCTGCCGTGGCGGCTGAAGCTGCAGGACCGTCGGCAGCAGGTGTAGCATCATCAGCAGGTGTAGCATCATCAGCAGGCCGAGTTTCAGCCGGTTTAGAAGCGTCGCTGACTGGAGGAAGAGGTGGATCAACAACGTTTGCAACCTGAAGAGGAGGAAGTGGTGCCTGCGCTTGTGGCTGGTCCTGGGCTGGGATAGTTTTCAGTAGATCACCAGGTCTGGCCGGTAAGATAGCAAATTGATTGTTAATATCGCTACAGGGACTCCCTGCAAGTTATAAAAGGGTAGATGGAGTTCAAGCATATGCTTATATACGGATAACAAAATAGAAATGCTTAAGTTAGACTCGTAGTAACTGGCATTATTGTTTTGCTTAGGCATGGAGAGTGGAATGACTTACAGACGAATCTACTCGAAGTGCCAGGAAAGTCGGTGACTACTCCATCAACCATAGCAGTCTGGATGTAAGTAGCAATCTCGATATTAGGGTCTGACCAGTAGTCGAATGCCAGTGATGTGTATTCATTTTTAAGTGTACGGACGAATACTGTGAGGTTTGCATCTTTCAACTCCTTAACAACATTGGTCAATCGATACAAGTAAGAGGCATATACTTCGATAACAGAGGTTTTTGGAACATTCACTGCATCCGCATACTTTTTTATCTCTTCCGCTGTTTTTTTGGGCACGCTACCAATCTTTTCACTCAAAAATAGTACCCTTTTGTAAGACGGGTTATCTTTAAACTTAGATAGGACCGAGCTGTCATCTGATTGAACCAGGACTTGTTGCTTGTCGAAGGTGGCGTTTTTCAAGGCACTGCTAACAGCATCCACAATGTCAAGACCCTTTTTTGATGCAAGGTACGCCGCATTCTGTGAGGCAATTGGAGTTCGCAATAATAGAAAATTTTCAAATAGAAGGAAAACGATTGCAGTAACACATCCTTCTTAACATGTACCTTAATAACTTGTTTAAATTTTTGTGAGAAATCCAAAAGTAGTGATATTGCTTACCTGAATGTTTATCAAAACGCCAGGAACTGCCTTTGTCTTGGCTAACTCCAGAAAATCTTGTAGGGTGATCAATTTACCGCTGCTTTTGTTTGCAGGGTTTCTTTGGAAATCGCCGTTTTTAACAATATGAGCTGAAACAAGAAATTTGTACTGTAATTTCATTGTTGAAATCTCAAAGGTTGAATCTGAACTTGAATCCTTGAAGTTCTTTAGAAGTATTTACGTTTTAATTTCTGAATCTCACTCCAGGAAAGGTCAAAGGAGAATATTCCAGATTTTGGTTGAATATCTGGGACTTTGGAAGATCGAGACATAAATTTAGTCATTGCGTTGGTATCTGGGCCTAGGTCTGAGCTATTTGAGCAGAAGGCAATGCCATCTCTTGTCATTTGAACTGAACAATCTATAATGTCAGCACCGTCATCTATTGCTTGCTTATATGCAAGATCACTGCTGCCTGGATAAATTCCGCTTGCACCATTGTTGCTTATGACCAAAGTTGGTCCTACAAAATCAAATTTATAAGGTAAATTTGTCATCCACCTTTTTTCCGTGTCTTGTCCGTCTGGGGTATGATTGAGAACATTTTAAGATTGATAATATACCTTTTTTGGGCAAGGTATTGTTGTGTGAAAAGCAAACTGTAAAACAAAATATCTGTTAGAAAGTTGAAGAGGTGATCTTCAAGTTAGAAATAGATTGTGAATTTAAGTGGAAGGTTTGACATCTCACATATTGCATTTGATGCTGTTGATGGGAAATCGGTGACAACACCATCAACAGAATCTCCCTTGTCGAAAAATTGAAGGTACTCAGCGGTAGGATCATAGTTATAAGAATAGCTAGCAAAAAAATCATTAGCAAAACCAGAAGCATAGACTTCTAGTCCAGATTTATGGGCATCAGCCACAACTGTGGTGGGAAGTCCCAGATATTTGTCTGCTTTAATGGGCCATATGTAATCTTTTGGGACTATTATGCCTGATGCAAATGACTTGATTGTAGCAATATCCTTTATAATACTTTCATATGGCTTCTTGGTTGAAGGTTCGACATCCTTAGCGTTAAGAAGTTGAAAGACGACCTTGGTATTGTTAGATTTCTGACTGAGACTCTTCAAGAAGCCCATATCTGAAGCTGAAACAAATTCTATTCGATAGGAATCCAATAATTCCAAAACAATATCTTCCACCTTTACTCCCTTTTCTTGGTAGAATGCTGCATTCTGCAACAGAACACGCAATTAATATTATAATAATTTGGTAAACAGAAAGAATCTAGGAATGTGGCGTGGTGCTTGTAGAGTTTCAATTCTCAAAGAAGGTCCCGAATTCAGAAGGAGTAAAACCTGAACATTCAACCAAAACCTGGGGGGGTTTTTCGTGCTCAGCAGACTATCAAGGTTGAGAATTGGATCAAGACCATCGTAAGCACTGGGTCGTGAAAATATGGCCTGAATCACTGCAGATCACAGACCAAACCTTCAATTTCAAAGCTCAAACCTAACAGTAGTTTTTTATTGCTCCTATTTCAGCCTATAATCTATTAACTCACCTGATACATTCATGCCAATCTGTTCGGAATTGTAATCCACTGAAAAGTGTCCTTTCACGTCCTTCCCATTAATATTATAGGTACTTTCCTTAGGATCGAAGAACTCTATAGTTGTTCCATTGTCAAGTGTAGATCCCGTGATGCAAAAGGCCCCGCCATCTTTTGACAACTGAAGATTGCAAAATAAGATGCTGATGTCTCGTGCCAATGTAATGGCGTCTGGAGAGCCTTCAGGGAAGAGTCCCGAATAACCACCACGGGCTATTACAAGAGGCTCATTGCCTGCAACATCAACAAACAATCACATCAATGAGCCAGGGAAGCCATTTTTCAGAGAAACAAAAAGTCCTACGGATACCAACCACTTAATGTTGACCATTTCGGGGAAGCAACTTTTGGTGCAACTGCAGGTTTTTGTGCTACTATTCCATGAACCAAGAAGAAAATCAGAAACAAGCTTCTGAGCATTTTGTTCTTTTCCTGTTACAGTCCAAACTAAACCGAGTCAATGTCAAGTGAAACAAACAATCAATCAATCAATCCTTAAAACGTTCATTTGCCTTAAAATTCCTACGTTTGTGCTCATATAGTAATGGTTTCAAATTTCTCTTAATATTTTCCTTTTGGATGTTACACGCCTACTGGAATAATCCCACTTCATTCTCGTATTATTCAACCTCATCATCAATTTTTTCTTGTGTCAATCAGAATAGCATAAAGGGTTCAGAAACAAAAAAGTTGATCATAATTTTAGTTTCATCTCCGCAAACATGAAAAAAAGGAAAATAGAAAGAAACAAGCATGCATACCCAAAACTGATGTTCGAACCTCGATCTATTGAATGGATGAAACATGCATTCCCTTCGAGTTTTTCTCAGAAGAATCCTCGAGGGAATGTAATGGAAAACAGGAAAACGAATTGGTGAGTGAGATTGACTCACAAATATTATTTTTTTGATCTATTTCCACACATTTTCGCGCATAAATGGTTGGCCAGCCTTACATTGTTATTTTTGGAATGTTTGCTGTTTTTGTTGCTTTTCCAACTGTTACATCTAGGGTGGGCAAAAAATCTGTTTTACCCAATCTGGTCCACTTTTGCACTCTTTTGTTCTGTTTAGAATCATTTCATTAAATCTGTTTTTTATTTCTGATCTGTATTTTATAATTTTTCCAGATCAGATTTATGTTTTACTTATATAGATTTTAAAAGACTGAAAAATCTAAATTTGGAATCCAAAAAATAATAATCTGAAACTGGTTAAAACCCACCATAAACCATCTTTTTGGCATTTCGTTACTTTCAACTACACAAGAAAAGGTCGTTTAACAACATAACTCTACTCAAAAAATAAATTAATTTACAAATTATAGTAATTTGGATTAAATCAATGATTTTGTTTTATTATCTGGACGCCTCAAAAGAGATATTTTGATCTTTGGTTTATGATATGAATTCAGTAAAGAATTGTGAGGTTTACATAATTCCATTGTAGTCTATACTATTATTTATTTAGTTACGGCAAATATATTTCCTTCTTTATTAACCATAACCGAAAAGGTGTTTTAAAAGATGAAAATATATATATTTAAATTATTTTTAAATGATTAAAAGGACAATTATTGCTTTAAATGAATTTTTTCTGTTAAGAAACATTTTTTTTTGCATGAATAACAGAATTAAAGTTATTTATAAGTAAGTACCTGAATAAAATAATGAGTTATAAAAAATAAACTCTGAAAATTCATAACAAAACATTTAAGTCATATAGTAAAACTGTTTTGGGGAAAATAATTAATTTTATGAAATGTTGTATTATTATACAGATTATACATAACATTATAAATACGTTTTTTCTTCATGAAAATTGCATCCCTCCAAATATTTAATGCGCATGGAAGAGTAGGAGTCAAATTCATAGACAT